AAGCTACCCAGGAGTTCATGAGAGCAAAAAGGTGGAATATTCTGCAATGGCCAAGTCAATCACCAGATCTTAACCCAATTGAGCATGCATTTCACTTGCTCAAATCCAGACTTCAGACGGAAAGACCCACTAACAAGCAAGACCTGAAGGCTGCGGCTGTAAAGGCCTGGCAAAGCATTAAGAAGGAGGAAACCCAGCGTTTGGTGATGTCCATGGGTTCCAGACTTAAGGCAGTGATTGCCTCCAAAGGATTCGCAACAAAATATTGAGAAAAAACTTTTTTGTTTGGGTTATGTTTATATGTCCAATTACTTTTGAGCTCCTAAAATGTGGAGTGTTTGTAAACAAATGTGTACAATTCCTACATTTTCTATCAGATATTTTGTTCAACCCTTTAAATTAAACGTTACAATCTGCACTTGAATTCTGTTGTAGAGGTTTCATTTCAAATCCAATGCGGTGGCATGCAGAGCCCAACTCACAAAAATTGTGTTACTGTCCAAATATTTCTGGCCCTAACTGTACAAATATGTCACTTTGTTAATAAGACATGCAGCAATGTATTTCTATTCTGATAATTTTTTTGTCAGAATAGAAAATATCTAAACTAGTTAATACTTAATACAGAAGAGTGAATTTTGCTTTCATGTTCAGCATAAATCATGTCTGTTATCTGTCGTCACACGTAAGAAATTGTGACATTAAAAATAACTGACTATGTCCAAGATTACTCCTATCAGTGAAAAAAACGTTTATGTAAGTTGAAGGACAGAAAGACAGTCATTTCAAATTAAAAAGAAGTGCTGCACATTCATAAACTAGCAACCATATCTAATGGAAAGCCGTGACATCTTCTGAACACTTGAACAGAACAGGAAAACATCAGGACCAAGGGTACATTCAGAAATCTATGATGTTCCTTTCAAAAAGCTGCAGAATACTGTATCTATAGAAAACAGCTTCCAAGGTAGTGTGAGCTGAATCTGTGTGTGGGTCCCTGGCTGCATAAAGAATGTCAGTCACGGTAACTTTTGGTGCTGCATGCATGGAGCTCTTGACATGAGACTCAATCAGCAGCACTAAAGCCTGCCTCTGCCTCCGATGCCTCTGCCACCCTGCTTTGGAGTATACTAATCTCCACTGCAGGATGTAGAGGAGCCATTTGATATTGTCTTCCCCGGTGTTTTTCATTATCACAGTCTTACTGCTGCTCGCCGGTGGCATTACCTCGACATTAATGGGCTTGACGGGCCGAGAATCACCACACAATCCTGTCACAACCTCCCATCTCTGCTTTAACTCCCGCTCGCATTTCAAAGCCTCTCTGCTCCTTCTTATCTTTCATCTTCTTTTTTTCTTGCTTTGAGGTGGATCTGCAACAGCATCGTGAACAACATTCTGGGATTTTTCTTCCTTTTTTTTTTTTTTAGTAAGGTTCCTGGCAGAACTGAAAAGGCTGACATTAGAGTATGAAGAGAAGGTGACATAAACATAATAGCACATAGTTGCTTTGAAGGATTGGAAAGTATATTGCATGATATGCAAATGTTAAAGAGCTAGTGAAATTGCCTTTATGAAGGACTTTTTGAGTCAAAAACAGATATTTTTTCTGCAAATGACTGCCGAAAAAAGCATGGGTTCTTCTGCGTTTGCAGATATAACCGTTTTAATTACTGTTTGATTGCTATTGATCACTTTACTTCAAGCAGATCAATTTTTACTCTGCCTGTGATGTTACAGTTGTGAAAAAATAGGACACTCCATATTTAGTTATTATTAAATGTTCAAAACCCGATGCTTTTATTCACCTCAGGAAAAAAAACTGATTTATTTCACTTAAAGCAAAAATTTTATTATTTTACTCTCTAAGCAACAGATTTCACATAAATAGCCTTTTATTTGAAATGTTAGGAAATCTTCAGAGTACTGTAAGTGCTGAAATGTCCCCCACTTTTGCTGCAAGATATTTGTGGGGGTTCTTGTTCAAACATCCTGTTTTAAGTCACTCCAGAGCATTTCAGAGCGATGGAGATGACGGCTTGGACTTGGCCCAGGAATTTCCATTTGTTAATTCTCAGCCAGCCCTCGGTGGATTTATTGGTATCGTGTCATTATCGTGCTGCTTTGATTTCTTTTCTTTTTTTTTCTTTTTTCAGAACCAATATGTCACATTTTCTTTCCTCTGATACTGATTTTGGCCAGGTCCTGCTGTTCTGCTGTCCAAATAATTCGGTTTTCAGACTAATTTATCCAAAGAACATTATTCCAGCAGCATTCTCACAAACTTCATTCTGACCTCCAGGCAGGTTTTCTCTTTACAAATGTTTCCTGTTAAAAATTAAACTTGTACAGTTTGTTTCTGATTGCAGAGTCATCTGATATAGGTCATGTAAGGACAGCTTAGGAGATTTTCATTTTTAGCAATCCACTTTTAGGGTGTTGACAGTTTGCTTCACTTGTATTTCAAAACATCTAATAATCATATGCATGTCTTGTGGAATGCTATTTTGTGATTCTTTCCATTTCAAGTAGGATTAAAAGCGTTTGAGTCTTAATTCTTTATCAGAAAATACTTTTTTACTTCAGTGCAAGGTCTTTTCTACATCTTTCTAATTTTTTGTGCATGCTTTTTTGTATTGTTCAAGCTTGTATTAAATATATATGTTTCCAGGAACTAGAAAAGCAAACAACCCCTCATTGAGAGTTTATATTTTACACAATTACAGGTTAGTACGAATGATCTGTCTTTGCATCGAATTACATCTGGAAATTCTATGAATTTTCTCTTGTGCAGGTACCTGCACTCACATTACAATTGTTGATTTCATTTTAATTTAATTTTTTGTGTTTCAATTGAGTGTTCATTGCATGTTGTATCTTTTTTGATAAGCTTTCTGTGATTGTTAGGGGCATAACAGCATAAAAACCAGTTTTATTTCAAAAGAAAGATTGATTATTTTACAAAATTATTGTATTTTGCAGAACACCAACAAGCCAAAACTGTTCAGCCTGTAGTATTTTCTTTAATATTCAAAGAATTTTTATTATTATTATTATTATTTAGGGGCAAAGCCACTTTGAATTAAATGCTGTTTATAAAACGGAAATCTTTTTAGATGACATACTCAGTATGGTAACATCCTTAAAACCTACAAAGATCTGCCAGCAAATCATGAGTTCCCCGATGACCAAAACGAGCAAAATGAAAGAATGAGACTCACAAACACATTTCAGCATACAATCTGGGATAACTGTGACATAAGCTTCAGAATATTTTAGAAAACTAGGCTGCAGGATGTTTTTAACGCAAAGATTTCAGGCATTAAGCGATATGTGCCTGCAGTGGAACATGTCAGCCGTTCAGCACACAAAGCTTCACACAGCAGGACCAACATCTCTCTCCCTCATGATCCACAGTCAACAGCAGCAGCCAGCCTTTTCTCCCCTGCTTTTGGTATTGATATTTGCTAACAGCCAAAATTACTTTTTGGAAAGCATCATCTGGGATGTTATATAAAATAATAACTGCTGGATCAACTTTACCTTGTGTTTTATTACATCTTAAAATGAAAGTAAGAAAATGGAAACTTTTTTTCTTCTCACTTCTCCTCAGGTCACCAGCTGGAATCAGAGAGGAGACAATCTGCCTTCTTTTTTGTGCTTCATCATGGATTACAATCTCAATATTTTGTGCTGTGTTGTGTTATTTTATACAGTCCTTCCCAGTGTAAGAGCCTTTTAGTAAAAACAACAGATCCAACATATTTTACTGCCATTCATCAATTTGCACCAGCAGAAAAGCTGTAATTTACTGAGGAACTGTTTGCTTCTGAAAATGCACATCTCCTGGTATTGTCACAGAAACCTCTGTTAACAGCATGCTTCTGTGTGTGGAAAGTGGGTGTATTTGTGTACCAATAGATTGGGAGAAAGCTTTTAATTATTTTTTGATAAAACATTGTAAAGCAGGGAGCATATTTCCAGTGAAGGTAATAGTTTCCTTTTACAGTTTATTTTTTTGCCAGTGATTGTGAGATAAACTCTACAGTCTGTAAATCTGTCTTTTTGTTTGTTTTTGTTTTTTGCTGCATGTTGCCATGAAATAAAGAAATTCTACAAATAATTTTCAGAAAAATCTACATTCATATCAATATTCCAGGTAATATTTTTTTCCAATGAATCACCTGAACGTATAAATGGCTTTTTATACTAATACCTTGCTGCTGCTTTCATAGGTAATGTTTTTATATATAACATTATAAGATACAAAAGACAAAGTTTCTCATCTCGTCTGCAGTTTATGAAAATGTGTCTGGACTAATACTTCCACCTAGCGGTTGAGTAGTGCAAATACAACTGGTTTCAATCTGTCAGCAGCCAAAAATCCATGAGGTAAGAAATGTTTAATCTACTTGGTAGCCAGGTGATACGATTTAAATTGTTGAATGCACAAAAACACAATAAATACATTCTTTAAAAACTTGAGTAAAAATAAGAAGTATGTCAAGAGAAACATTAAAATGTAAATTTAACTAAAAAGCTAAGACATGATAGAAATGAAGTGACTAAAACAACATTTGACCTTTGTGGGTAAGTTGTTCTAACCAGTGGTAAATAACATCTAGGGCCTTCCATTAAGTCCATTTCCTACCCATAGGGGTAATGTATGTAAATGCTTGGTGGGTGGAAACCATTATAATGATCAATCCATGGTGTAAAATGGTCCTGCTGTTTCTTGGTGTTTATCAGAACAACCGGAGCAACATTTTGGATAAACTGTAGCTGTCTGCTTAATCCTCAGATACCTCTACAATAATCAAACACACAAAAAATGAAATTATTCTCGTTGTTTTGTTATGAGCGTGTGGATGTGTGTGTGAAAGGGTAAATGAATGAGTACAGGCCATTTAACATTTTTGTGTCTATTGATAAGAAAACCTTTTATGCTAACAATGTTTTAAGATAGCAGACTGGGTTAGTTAGGTATGAGCCAACGAGAATACCTAGGTTTTTGTGCATGCTTGATTTTTTTTCCAATGTCTTTATTATATTTCAAGAAGTATGGAAAAAACATTTTTATCAATCCTACCTAATGCAGCCTTAAGGATTTTGCAGCAATTACAATTAGAAAGTCAGCAAAGACAACTAATTTAGTCTTAAAGCCATGTAGTGAAGGGAATTCCCAAAACAAATTCATTAAAACATAAGTACAAGAATATTAGTCAACAAAAATAAAACAAACTGCTACCTAAAACATATACATTTAAGACTAATTTGGTACTAGTGGGCTTAATCCATTAGGAATAATTAATAACTGTTTTCAAAATATTTAATTTTCAATATGTACTTTGAAAATCTTCCGAAACCAAGTGACAGCTTGCGCTTTTAAACGCTGCTGGTTTACTGGTGTTCTTTGAGGAAACTTTTCATGTAGTCTGCAAGGGCTGCAGTGTCCTCCATAGTTACAGCGTTGTACAAGGACGCACGAATTCCACCCACTGACCTGCAGGGGGAGACAAACACTCCTGTTTATGTCAACAAAAAAGTCCCTTAGTCTTTCAGTTAGAGCACGATGGTAAAATGGAAACGTGGAACAATACAAGGTGCATGGTTGCGCAACGGACCTGTGTCCTTTCAGTGAAATCATTCCATGCTTGGCTGCACCCTCCAGAAACTTCTTCTCCAAAGACTCATCTCCTTCTTTTTTCCCAACACGAAAAGGCACGTTCATGCGGCTCCGACACGCAACGTCCACAGGACATCTGACCCAATGGATGACCACACAAATAGTGAGACTTCATTCTTTGTTAGAGAACTGTTGGTATAGTGTCACATATTTTGTGGCATGTGGCCGCTTTTTCCCGCTTAGATCACATGGAACCAAAGGAAAAGTACTTTGAAACCTGTCAGCAGAGTTATTGCACTGCAATGCGTTGTGTCTGAGGCCAGTGAAGTTAAACTTCTGTGCTAAATTTTACAACAGTTTAACAAATTCACTCTGAAAGTATTAGCCTGTCTCTTTCAGGGGTTTTTTTGCAACACGTAGTATTTTAAGTTACTTTCCTGAAGCTTTAGTACTCACACATAAAATCCATTTGAAGAGTTGATGATGTCATAAATCATGGAGGACTTCTGCTTGTTGAGCGATTCCATGGCAGCGCTACCTCCGTTATTCTTGATCCATTCCAGAACCAGACTCATGATGTAGATGCTGAAGCCAATAAACAGGATTTGAAACAAATAAAAAAAATCTACTCTTGCTCTACTGTTTATTGACAAAATGCTAAACATCTTAAAACATCTCTCACTCCATCTCCATTGTTCTCAATAAAGGTTTCTGACTGTGCGGCTAAAACATTTTGGCCCGTTCTCTTTTGTTTTAAGTTAGCTCCAGCTAAAATTGTGAGCAAATCTGTGTGAATGATACGTCCTCATGCCGTAAACAGAAAGGTATGTACCTGAAACATGGAGGAGTGTTGTAGAGGGAGTTCATTTCAGCCTGCATCTTGTAGTCCAGCACAATGGGGCACTCCTTCAGGGCATGGCCCAACAGATCTTCTCGCACAATGACCACTGTAACACCGGCACAACCTACGTTCTTCTGGGCGCCGGCATAAATGACCCCAAACTACACATTGGCAATATGAGGAGGATGTGTTAGATCACAACCATTTGAAACATGAGAAATATTTTCATCAATGTCTAAGAGGCGAGTGCGGAGAAGAAGAAACAAGTACAATTTATTTTGCTGTCACCTTTGATACATCTACGGGCCGCGACAGGAAGTTGGAGGACATGTCGCTGACGAGGACAACGCCGTTGGTTTCAGGCGTGAAGTTGAACTCGACACCGTGGACCGTCTCGTTGCAGCAGTAGTACACATACGATGCGGACGGGTTCAGGGTCCAGCTGCTGGGGTCGGGAATTTCTGGAAGAAGCATAAACAAAACATAATGAAAGCTAAAAGAATAATTATTCAAAGTAGAGGCTTATTCTTTAAATAGATGTGTCAGAAGAGAAACATTTTTAATAAATAAAAATAAACTAAAGCAAAAATGGTCCAAAACGGAAATGTGAAAATCTCAAACTCCAGGTGTATATATGATTTACTTCAATGAAATTTACCAAATAGAAAATTTTGTTCCATTAATCTTTTTCAATCTTATGAAACTTTTACCACCGTGTTGTACAAATGTGTAACCATTCTTATTCCAGACACTTGGCTTTTCTTTCACTTTCTATTCCAACTTTGTTAAAATGTTATATTAATCCATAAAGTGTCCACTATTTTCTAGAATTTGCACATATTTTTTAACTTATTGAGTTGAGCATCAATGTTTTATTTGGAGAACTCTGCTGACTCTTGTTATCTTGCTATATTTGTAAAATAAATTAATTTCACAATGCAAATGATTATACAGTTTTTTTTTTCTTAAACCTTGCAGAATAAACACATTTTAATTCATTAAAATAATTAGGTTTATTCATCTTCATTACTTTTTTAAATGATGTTTCATTTAATGTTTCTCAGTTTTTTTTTCCTTTCATACGTCTTGTGTTTCTGTGTCCTGATCAACTGAATCTGACAGTATCATGTTAGAAATTAGGTTAAATTACACTATGTGGAAGCAAATCGGATTAAAATCCTGGATCGTACCAGAATGAACAAGAAGAACTCAATTTGGACTGTATTGGACTCTGTATAACTTTGTAAACATGAATGTTTGATTTAAATAAATCAAACATTAATTTAATTCATTTGAAATGTATATTTCTGCTCACATAAGGATGCTTCAAAAGTACTTTTAAGGTTTTCAAGTACTACTGTACAAAAGGTCCCTGTGAGATCTCAAAAGAGGCACAAACATGCAGCTTCATTCCAGAGTCTTTCACTGGAATTTGGGTCTATTGTTGGTTACGCAATATGCTGGAAAAGCTGCCAGATTTTTCTGAGGCTCTTTCCTGATACAGCCTGAATGACAATGACTCACTTCTAAGATCAGGAGATTCTCTTTTTAAACTACTTTTTCTTGGGGAAAAAAAAAAAACATCAGCTTCTGTGCTCAGATGAAACATTGCCATGCACACGTACTCGTGTAACTGTCCAGTTTCGGGTGGATGATGTTGACTTTGCCATATTTCTCTGCTTCTTTTGCAGCTTTAGCTGACCACGTGCCGGTCACCAGGTAGTCGGCGCACCTGTCCTCCTTTAGACCTATCAGGTTGAGAGGAACGCCACTGAACTGTCCAGAGCCACCGCCCTGCAGAAACAACACCTTGTAGTTGATTGGGATATCTCTGTGGAGACAGAAGTCACCGTGTTTTACAAACTGAAAAATAGATGAATGGATGGACAGATGGACAGATCAATGGATGGAATACTAAAAATTTCACTTACAACAATTCTCGAAGCAGACTCTCTGTCTTGTTGATGATTTTGTTGAAATCTGCTGATCGATGGCTCATCTCTGATTTAAGAAATAAAACACAGCTCGTCAAATATTGTTTTCAATAATATTCACACCAGATTCCAGACCTACTTTGATCCCAAATCAGTTTTCCGACCCACCAAGAACGCTGATCCCAAGGCCACTGTAGCTAAGAAGCTCCTTCTGAGCTTGAAGCAGCACCTGCAACACATCACAAATAAAGCATCTCTTCATTACAAATGTTGATTAATGTTTTATTGATTTGAAAAATGTTTTGCAAGAATAATGTTTGAAGAGTTGGAAAAACAGTAGATGTAAATCTATACTCAGGAGGTTTGGTATTTATCAGAAAACAATCAGAATAGGTTGACTTCAATAAAAAATATTTGCCATGGGGGTTCAAATGAATCTTTACTGTGGGAAATAATTTTCATTAGGCTAAAAAATTGACAGGAATATAGCTAAAAGCAAATGTTGAAACTGATTTTATTTATCCAACATAAAACTCAACAAAATCAACTCTTGTTTCTTATTGGGTTTTTTCTGTTTCTTTTTTTTTAGCTAAAGGAAATATAATGTATTGGTTATTGGAGTGAAGTTTGAAACGATAGTTTTGACAGCATCATAGCTTTACAATCATTCGACATTTGTGTTAAAAATAATTAGCTTACTGTAAACTATACTTCCCGCTTTCCGTTAAACGAACATTTATAGATTTTAATGATACATGAATAAAAAAATTATCACCTTCAAATTTATGAGTGAGGGAAAATCTGAACCTGATGAAGATAAATGACAGACCGACTCCAACATGTTTCCCTTAATGCTGGATTTGAAACAGTGTTCACCTGTTTCCTGATGTTATTGTTTCACTCTACATTTAACACTACTCACCAAATGTTTAATTTAGCAGAAATAAATGTAATGATTTATTTAGCATCTATCTTACCAGCTCTAGCCCCATATACCTCTTTAAAGCTATCCCTCCAAATAGTTACATGTAGATCTTTGTCTATATGTGTATCTAATCATCCAGATTTATTTGTTTAGCTTTATCTATTAATCCATCTTGCGTGCATCAGGATGGATTGATTATGTAGTTCCAACAGACTGGGTGCATCAGCAAAACAAAACCATGGTCCACATCAATATACCCCTGTCTATGAATGTTTTTCTATATTGTAAACTGATTAGAAAACTGCAGCTGTTGGGAAAGCCTGTGCTGTGATTTCTTCTTCTTAAACGAACAAGCTGTGTTTTCTGCCACCTAGTGGTTGGATGTGGTAACTGCCAGGGAAGCACCATGGAAGAAGCAGATTTCCACATGAATGAATGAAGGCTGATGCAACTCAGCAAGCAGTTTTCAGGCTGATGAGCTGCCACCATCTGCTAGGCACCAAAGCCAACAGCCAGTTTTCACGCAAAACTGCTCAACGAAACGGGGGGGAGGGGGAAACGACGCGTTTCACATGGAAAAATAAAGTATCCAGAGTCAAGACGCGATTGAAAGACGAGGTTAAACGCTGCAACATGAAAAAAAAAAGTCTGCGAGGGTGCATCAGCAAAACAAAACCATGTTTCAGCACAGATAGTCAAAAAGATCTTTACGAACAAGGCAGATATCTATGCAAACTCGCTGGTGATTTTTGGCAGATTTTCGAGACGCGTTCACGCAAAGAAAACCAGCAGCTGCAAACTTACAGACTGAGGTAGTTTGGCAGGTCCAGCTCCAAAGTTGATGGTTTGTTTCCCCTCCATGATGTAGAGAAAGAAGCTTTTTCGTGCAGATGAGGGACGTTGCTTCAGTTGCTCTTCGCCGCGCTGTGAGTTGAGGAGCTTCTGACTGCCACCGCTTGAAGCTTGTGCAAAGTGAGGCGTTCAGGGGGATCCAGCAAAGTTCTAAACTGCATTTGCTACCCAGAGAAATCGTAAGACATTTAAAACCTGATGTTTTTACAAAGATACATCCGCTTTAAACTTATGATTATATATTTTCTTAATCTTCTACATGCCAGAACTAAATTTCACAGATGTTTTTGCAAGTTAAGCGCAAGAACAGTAAAAATCAAAACAGAACAAACAGAAGAAAAAAAAACACAACTACTTAAAGTACGGTTAGTAAGATGAAGTAGAGTTGGTAAAATAAAATCTGAACAAATTCTGATTTATATACTTGATTTGTGTTGGGTCTTTCTGAACTTTCAACATTCCCGAGCCAAATGAAGATCAGATGACACTTTTAATTAGTGGTGGGTTCAACCGCTGTTGTGAAATGAAACGAGTTCTTCTTGCAACATTTTACATAATCTTAACGATCAGTTATGTAACAGAAATCCAGTCTTGTGCAAAAACTATCACCTTGAAATTAACAAGTTGTATCAAAATAGTGATCAATGGCATGCAACACTTATCCAAATAAAGTAAGTCAAATATCAAAGAGAAGTTATTACACAAAAGTTATGTAAGGATGAGCCTTTTCCATCTTTTGATTCAGAGCTGCTTTTAGATTTTTTTTAATTATTCATAATACATTCATCTCTTGTTTGTGCTTGTTTCTATGTAAACCAAATAGTAAAAATACATTTAAGAGAAAAAGACGATTAATGGATGACGTTTGATTTGCGATTTTATAAAAGTCAAACAACAGTTTATATAGTTCTTCTCTCAGTTGTATGATCAGTTGAGAGGCCAAAACATTTTCCAAATTGGACATAAAATTACACTTTTGATGACTTTTTACAAATTTGACTACAACTGTTATTGGAGTTACTCATTGTAGTGCTATAGATCTTGGTATTCAGGCATGGAGCCTTTCAGAGTTTAGTATGTAACTTACTGTGGAAATTGAAATCTTAAGAAGCTTTAAAACCTTATTTTACCAAATACCACACGTTTAGACTTGAGTGACACAAAGTGTTAGAACGATGGAAACCATAACATTTTATACTTGATACAGAAAATGGGCCTCTGCCTTCCAATGACATGACACACACAACTAAACACAGCAGTTTGACCACATTTCATTTTCATACAGGTACTTCCAGTCTATACCAAAACCCTCTTAGAATCAGCAGAGTTCATGTGAGTTCATGTTTTACTCACCTGTCATAGTAAAAATGTTTTATTCTCCCTCACAATTGTCTTTAGACAGAAACCTATGGTTATTAAACTATTACATGTTCTATTTGGAAAAATTATTAGTCTGGTGGAACTACATAAATTGTTGTTTGACATTTTTGAAATTGCAAATCAAACATCATCCTTTAAACTAGCTGGAATTTTCTCCTTGCAAGAAAAACATGACAAACATTAGTGATTTCTCCAGCTCGTGAATCTCATGAGAGGCTATAAAGCAATTAACTCTTTCTGAACAGTCACATGACAAAGACGCTGAGCGCATTTGAGTTGAAACCTGCAACTGAAAATATAGTTCTCATCTCCAGAGTTAACTGGAGATGAGTTACCAGCTCAGATTATTTCTTTTTTTACTTTGTTGTCAAATTTGTTGTTTCAAATAAAGTAAGTCAAATATCAGACAAAAACAAAGTATAAAAAAAAAAATTTAAACATAAAATAAGCTATTCAAAGTTATTTAAACCAACCTCTCCCTATTATCCAGAAAATAATTACCAATGGTTGGTAAAAATGAGCTATGCTTACTGTGTTATGGCCACATGAGTAAATTAAAAACATTCTTATAATAGTGTCATAATTTTATTTGGCTAAAGTAATATTATTTTGAAGTGAAATAACACTTACCCTGGAACAGTTGTTGGCCTCTCATCCTGTCTCTGATCTCATAACTGAGAGAAGAACGACTGAAATTGAAACATGCAGCAGAAATACACACCTACAAGCTGCATTGTTCTAGTGTATGATTTTCTACCTGCTGAGTTTACCTTCCCTTTTAGAGTGCAAGTCAATATGCGGTACAGTACATCCTGTTTTCTCACTAGAAGCAGTTTGAACTGTTCAAACATACAGTACTTTACCATATGTAGGTATTTGTGTCAATAGTTTGATATTTTGAAAAGTGAGATGTGAAATTTGTGGTTCTAGTGCCTTAGTTTGTTGTTTTTGAAAAGATGATATCTATGTTGGTCAATTTTATTATTTTATCATTTGAAAATAACCGAATGTCCACAATTTTTTAATTGTCTGTCACTCATTAAAATACTTTTATGATATTTGTTCGTGGACATTTAAATATGAGTGTTCAATTTTTGCATGCAAGCACTCATTTAAAATTGGGTGATTTTAGTACTAACAAAGTGTTTAGTTTCCCATTGCGACCCTCCTCATGGAACAATGGCAGGAAAGGAATGTTTAAAGGCTTTTCTGCAACTATTCACCAAAAACATAAACCACTGGAGAAGTTCAAGTGAAATGACCCAGAATCGGATCTCTTTCAGGCGTCTGTATTTATTAAAGGGCATTTCAGAGGACGAATGTCCAAAGATTATTTAACACCTGTTTGATTCAGGTTTCAACACAAAAAGACGTAAAAACAAAAATAAAAAATCTAGTGTTTCACCGATTTGTATGGGGCTGATGGATGGAAGTAAAACATGTCAGATTAAACTGAATTCAGTGTCGCTCCTTCTTGGTGGGAGCATTTATTTCTCGCTCATGTTTTCTCAGTCAGCACTGCAGCAATATCCAGTCATACCGCAAATATTTCCCAGGTTTGCAGTTCAGTTTGTCTTTTGTCTGTCGTAATATTTGTTTAGATGTTAAGTGAAGCTATGCACCTTGGATTTCTCGAAACACCAGAATTACTCAAAGGCCTCAAAGAACTGCTGTCTCATCTCAGCAGTGGAGACTGATGTCGTTGGCAAACTGCCACTCCTGTGAGTGATGTTCAGTAATGAATCTCCTTCAGCTGTTATATAGATTTCCTTACTTTGACATTTCTGCAGGGGAGTTGTGCTGGAAGTTCACTAATTTGACTAATTTGATCTGGGTATACATTCAATGTTTTACTATTGAATGTGATTTGTTTTTTAGTTTGTTTGTTTTTATGCCACAATCATCGTTTGGCAATAAAATGTGTGGCAAATCTGTGTCCTTCATTCAAATACCCTAAAAAAAAAAAAGCATTTGCTCAAGCAGTGTCTTTTACTTCTCTTATACCACCGCAAAAAGGACAGGCTACAAGTTCCTCCTCCTGAGTAGATGCCTTGACAGTGAAGGGATTAGATATTGAATCTGGAAAAGTTTCTACCAGATAATTTTTCCTCTTAAAGTGATTGTTGGATAGGTTTATGATGTTCTCAGGCAGAATGGCTCTGGATCGTAGATCAGCGCTTCTCCCTGTTTGGTTCAGGATGGACATGGTGCTGCTGATGTTTCTGGTGTCAAACTGTGAGATGTCACAAAGTGGCGGTCTCCTCTGAGCCAAAGCAATCAATAGATCTGACACCTGAGAAGAGAAGTATAAGACAGAAACCAAATTTGACTATAAACTGGAAATCATGTTTTTCAGACTGTAGGAAATGGCAAATACTTTCATTCTCTGAAAGAAGTTACACTTTTTATCTTGAAAGTATTTCATAAATTTTCTGTCAATCTTAACTGAAAAAACAAAAGACCACCACAAAACCAGCACACAAAAATTAGCATTTTTTTTTGTGCTGGTTGCCTTGTAAAGCTAAAAACACCCAAATAGGATGTACCAAGAGCCTTTAGAAAGAAAACTTATCTGTCAGTGCATCATATGAATTTGAAATCTGCAAAATGTGACCATGACTCAAAAAATAGAAAAAAGTGACTTGATCATTTTTAAGATAACTGCTTTTGTTGTTTTCAAACGAACCTGGATGGAAACGTTAGCAGAGGTCACAAAGTGCTGGTCTCGAAAATCAACATTACAGATAACAGACGGCTCAATTTTTGTTTGGTCAAAAAACATTCATTTGAGCAAACTCAAAATTGCATCTTATTTTAAATAACTTTTTTACCTCAGTTACCTTAATCCCATTAAACTTTCTGCTTTCAGGATCGCCATGCTTGTGTAGATCATCCATGACTCAACAATCTCAAAAAATAAAAAATAAAAATCAGGCTGTCCTTCAGCAATTCAGACAGCTTATTGCTGAGGAATTTTCTGAATTCAGCAAGTTGAAATTTAAATGATCATAGCAACATGTGCTTTTTTGCTTTTCTTTTCCATAGAAAGTACACATGACTAAATATGTCTGGATTTCTTCCCAAACCTGTTCATGCAATAAAAACAGAAAGGAGTTATACAATTAAATTAAATTGAATAAAATTAAGCTAAATAAGCATTAAAATCTATTAAAAGTCATAAAAGCAAACTGTAGATGAAACAGAAGACTCCATTTTGCTTTTTTATTCTTCAGATGTACACAGACATATTGCACAGGTTAATGATTTTAAGAGCATACAGTCAACACAAATAATCTTGGCTCTGATTGAGCTAAAACAAAATACCAGAAACCTTGTGTACTCTTACATAAGGATACATGTTTTGTGCGTTTCCTTTGTGCGTATTTGTTGAATTTACATGTTTTTTTCTATTTACACGTAGATAAATACATACATAGCAATGTTACAAGCTGAAAAAACAGCTTCAAGACACTCAAGCTCCTCCAGTGATCTCATAGATTAGGCTGAAGAACAGGACACTGCGGTGCAGCGCTTTTATCAAACAGCTGATGTTGGTTTGCCTTAACATCTGGACTTCAGTGGAAACTGGATATTTATTACCATCCTAAACCCTAACAGTTTTAAGGACCAAAACCACTCCAGCTCTCTGATTTCATCAACACACCTTCTTGCACCATCTTCTGCTGCATTTACCAATGGATCTGACTGAAAAAAAAAAGATTGTAGACTAAAAACAACAACTAGCTTCTGAGGTTCAGATGTTTTCTCAAACACAGAACTGAGAACAGTGAAACACAGGAGGAACTTTAACCTAAATTAATTTCTGGCTTTGACTACAGATTGTTTTGGAGCCTTATCTAGGGGAAATTAAAATGCATAGTTGGACTGAAATGGTGTATGAATGGTTTGCAGGAAGAGCCGGGGCAGGAACTGAGTGGTGTCCACATTCTGTTGATTTCCTCACACCCAACTTCCTCGTCGGCCGTCTCTCGGTCTTGAGAGGAAAAGCTGGGGTTCTGAACCAGGGAGGGGTGGCAGCAGCTCAGCGATGCTCAGATGTTGAAGCTTTCCCCACAGCCACATGTGCCCTTGATGTTTGGGTTGTTGAAGATAAATTCACTGGACAGCTTTGACTCTATAAAGTCCATCTCAGTTCCTAAAAGGGTGAGCTGAGCCTTCTTCTCAATAAACACTCTCACACCTGAAGGAAAACACAACAAATCACTTTTCATTCAAACTAAATAAAAAGTTTAATATACTAAAAATATTCAAATGACATTTTTTTAAAGCTTTAACATGTAGAGAAACTTTATTCTAACTTTGTATTTTTGCTTTCTTATAGCTGTAAATATACTCAGTCATAAGAAAATTTGAAGTAACATTTTACATATAAGGCTGCACAATATATCACTATTATAATATCTATATGCACCACATGGACGCTACAATTTAATATATGTTAACTGTTATATTCCAGATATGATAAATGTGCTAAAACTGTTAAATGGAGTCTCGCTGCAGCTGATACAACCAACAGTTGGTTATGTTTGCTAAAGGTCACAGAGAGTTTCACATTTCATAATAATGACAGATCAGAACCAGAAATGAGGAAAACAGAGACCTAACGGGCAATAATGTAATACTATGCCATCAAAATTATTTATTATAAGTATGTTTGTGCATTATTCATAAGCAAATACATTTTTGGGAGTTGCTGTTTGACAGTCTTCTTGTTTCCAGGCCATCTTAAAATGTTGATTCCAGTGTGAAAAATTAAACCTTTCTGAGTTTCTCTCTGTAGCCTGAATTCTGACTGTTTTATGATTAATAAAAACACTTACCATCCTGGAGCACTTCCTCATCTGATTTCTCTTTCTCCTTTGTGTAATCCAGAGTGTAAGTCAGGCCATTACAGCCACGTGTTCTCACTCCCACTTTCAAACCAATCTGTTGATGATGCAGCAAACATATATCAACACACAGGAACTAATAACCAAACAAGAACAGGTGTATTTTCCAACAGACAGTTTAGTAAAACAGTCAACTCAAAACCTCTTGGTTTTAAGTTAATTATTATACTTAATGGGAAAAAAAATGCACATTTCAGAATCTCAGTTTATACACAGTGAGGCTAAGAATTGATGCTCTTCTTGTCTCAGTGCTTCTGTAAACACGAGACGTTGAGCAAAAATCCAATAATCAATCTGTAGAGCTACTATAGTCTCCTTCAGAAGACGTGTCTAAGGGTTTTTGTATTTTCAAAAAACAGAAATAACTTCAAGACAATTTTATGTCAATTAGAGAAACCTGTTTGTTTTAGCAGTATAAAAATAAGCTACTCATCAAACCAAAATCCGTTTATCAGACAACCTGACAGAGCACAGAAAAAATAAACTGTCTCTGGAAGGAAAAAATAAAAAACATTACAGTGAATCATTTTGTATACTCACATATTCTGGTTTGCCCTGCAACAACAATTTGATTTTGTTCACAGCTTCAGGAGTCTATAGAAAAGAAACGTAAAAAAACAGAACATAAAGCGTAAATCACAGAGCTAAAGAACACGTTGGAACTCTACAAAACATTCTTAGAAAAAAACAGCAATGGATACACAAAAAAATATGCATCATCATTTTTTTTCTGTTATTTGACACCTTTCATTTGACTTAGACATAACAAACATACAAGAGCTTGTCTGAAATTCCAGCCTGTA